AGTACTGTGTGGGTTTTAGTACTCTGGCAAATGAATAACAGTGACTTTGCAATTCTCTTCCTTATATTCTTTGGACAATTTTTGTCTTACTCTGCTAGGACAATCAAAGTCATTATCTACATCCAGATTCCTTCCCTCCACTGTATATGCTGGAAACACTCACAGTCTTTCAAGAATAAATCTAGAACATGAAGTAGAAAATAATCTAATTCAATCAGACACTTGCTAGATCACTTCTACCTGATCTTTTATAGCATAATTCAAATTATTTCTGGTAACAGATCACAAAAACGAATGTATATAGGAGGCTGAACCTGTGATTGTGACCTCCAGGTAGTAGAATAATACATCAGCCTCTTACTTGGCCTGATAAACCTGAGTCCCTGACACTTTAGACTCCATATAAAAAAATGAGGGAAGAGCGTGAGACAAGTTGACGCTAGTTTCATCTGCAAGCTAACCTAATGACTCATTGGTAATTTCAAACCTCTTCCTAAAGCATTCCATAGATCTAAAGTTGGTGGTCCAACCTTTATTATATCAAGTTTTTAAACTCTTATCTCCGTGCCTTCAAAAGACTGATGTCATTTTATGTGAATTACACACACAACTGTTATTACTAATTGCCCTCTCCTCAGGTTGAGAGATTGCTTCAGAAGAAAATCTTTTGAGTTAACGGAATACCCATTGACACAATGTAGCACTACATCAATACATAGGAAAGGAGGGGATGAAAAATAACTCTTTTTTTGCATTGTGAATGAAGTTCACCTTTAATTTTAACCAATCTTTCAAGGTTCACATACACTGAGTTGGGAAGACACATCATTGACAACATAACCCTGATTTCAATTATACAATTAGAATTGATTAAGAGATAAGTGACTTTTATTGAATACGTTTTTGTTTGTGCCTTTTCTTTACCAAAGATTTTTTTCAAATTTTTTATCAATGATTTTACTAAGTGCTTCTGTCCCTCAAAGGAGATGTTCTCCACAACGTGCATTATTAGAGTCTACCAGGTTTTGCAAATGATAAGCCAACTTTTACTAAAGAAGTTACTTCAAACAACATGATGGGGAAAATTGGAAAAGCTTTGGCAGGAAGACAGGAGAGAGAAAGAGGAAAAGAGTGAAAGAGGAGAGAAACTACTTCTATTCAAGAGACCATGATTCCCAAATACAATAAAAGAGCAGGTAGAAAGAAATTCCCTTCAAAATTTTTTTATCATGATGCATTATTTGAAGAAATCAACAACCTATTGCTAAATATACTAAAGAATCTTCTGGCAGAATCTACTGCAAAGAAAAGGATTTTCTCTCCTATATTCCTGCTTACAAATAAGGCACAAGATGGAGTAAATAACATTTTCCCTTGCTCCCTCTCAGCACACAAGCCATCAGACTTGCTGAGGAACTGAAAATGTTCCACTGTTTTGTCACCATTTCCCTTTCTACATCCAAAGAAAATCTGAAGTTGTGCTACATGAAATGAGTCTTTAGTAAGTGCAGTGTTTCATATAAAAGCATAATCAGACTATGTAATAGGCCTTACTTTGAAGTCTGTGGTCTCGTTAAGTTTTATAATTTCTAAGGAAAAGTTGAAATGACTTAAAGAGAAATCAGCGTGAACAAGGACTTCAAGGATTAGACCTAATATAATAATAGATTACCGTATTTATTTTACAGCATACAATTTATTTCATTTGTAAGTGTGGGTCTCAGGGCACGTGCATCCATGTAATCCAGAAATCTACAAGACTGGGAGTTTTCTGGCAACATGATATTTCATTTGGAAATGCCAGGTCACTGAAGGGTTTTCATGCACCAGATAAAATTTCTAGTTAGAGAGAACAATCCCCTAGAACAGACAATAGCTCAATCATTAGGGCACTCATCTGCACTGTGAGAGATATGGCTTCAAAATGCTTCATGTTCTGCCTGGTATTCTTTTCTATTCATGTTATTACAGTTTGCATACTTAATTACATGTTCATTGGGCTGCAGAGAGGGATTTTCACAGTCTGATGATCTGGACAGTTGTCTAGGAAGTAGGAGACCTAGGTGAAAATCCCCATTCTGTCCAATTCTTCAGAAAGACTTCAAGCTGGCTGAATACCTGGGTGAATACACCAATCAACAAGAGTTTTTGGTATATCCTACTTTCTTTTATCTTCCCACAGAAACTTTTCAGAAGTTCCCTCTTACACAGATGTTCAGTCAAACAAAATGTAGCTTACTTCAGACAGAACCCTCCTTTCATGCTCTAGTGCCACACCTAACATGCACAACACCAGCACCTTAGAACAGCAAATACTCACTGTATCTTGCTTTCAGGGACCTAATTCAAGGCAGAAAACAAATGAGTAGATTAAGGAGTCTCAAATCTTCAGCACATTATACATTTGGTCCACCAAATTTCCACAGCTCTACAAATCCACTTAGAACAACAGAGACACGAATTTATTTCTGCCTAGAAGATACAACACTCCCATGTTCCTCTTCAAGGTTGAGGCCAGAAATTCCCTGCTTCCCTTGCTCTTTCCCATCCTCAAAAATGAAAAAGTAAGAGAGATCTTTGGGGTTCTTTGTCCCTCAGAGTACAGCTTGATGGACTAAGACCCATTGCTTGTAATAAATGCTGCATGGATTTAAATACCATTTTGAGGTGCTTTAATGTTTGTGACTATCAGAAATTCTGTTTCAGGGCTGTCAGCAAACGTGGAGAAAGTACTACTGCATTTTAAAAAATTATTTTTAATTGGTTTATGTTTCCAAGCTAATCTTTTAAATGGAGAAAAGGAAACATAATATACAGGTATTTCTAATGAAAATAGAGAACTATGTATTCATCGCATGATTCTACAAGCTGGAAATACAAGTAGACACTTATATTATCAATGTTTAATTAGGCCTTTATTATATAGTATAAAGTCAGTGTGAAATAGAGGAGAATTTTGGCTAGAAAATTATTAAAACTCAGTACCTAAGGATCCTTGCAATGCAGGGATCAAATATCTAAGTACAAGGCCTGCACCTAGGTTAGAACAATCCTAAGTGCATATACGCATTAGGTGGAGAATGGAATGAGAGCAGCTGTGAGGAGGGCTTGGGAGTGTTGGTTGATGAGAAGCTCAACATGAGCTGGCAATTTGAGACTGCAGCCCAGAAAGCCAACCATATCCTGGGCTACATCAAAAGCAGTGTGGCCAGCAGTGCGAGGAAGGGGATTCTCCTGCTCCACTCTTGTGAGATCCCATCTGGAGCCTTGCAGTGAGCACAAGAAGGACATGGACCTATTTGAATGAGTCCAGAGGAGGGCCACGAGGATGATCAGAGGGCTGGAGCACCTCTTCTATGAAGATGGGTTGAGGGAGATGGGGTTGTTCAGCCTGGAGAAGAGAAGGCTCCGGGGAGACCTTATAGCAGCCTTCCAGTACGTAAAGGGGGCCTACAGGAAAGCTGAGGAGGGACTCTTTGTCAGGGGGTGTAGTGATAGGACAAGGAGGCTTGTCCTTTAAACTAAAAGAGGGGCTTTAAACTAAAAGAGGGAAGGTTTAGATTAGATATAAGGAGGAAATTCTTTACTCAGAGGGTGGTGAGGCACTGGAACTGGCTGCCCAGAGCTGTGTATCCGTGGAAGTGTTCAAGGCCAGGCTGGATGGGGCTCTGGGCAACCTGTTCTGGTGGGAGGTGCCCCTGCAGGGGGGTTGGAACTAGATGGTATTTAAGGTCCCTTCCAACCTAAACCATCCTATGATCCTACATGTATGATATAGAGATAAGAATATTAATATGTTTGCTTCTAGCAGCTGGTCTCTCTTTAAAAAATAAAAAATCTGAAGAACTGTGTACATTCTACGGCTGATTGTTAAAACACATAAATTATTACCACCCAATTAGCGCGCATATCCATTGTCCCAACTCTAAATTGCATTTTTATTTATAAATTTTTTCCATATTTTTCAGGACACTTAATAAGCTCTCACTGGTGGCGGATTTTCTCCCCATATGTGTTTTCCATTTTTATTGCTACGGTACTGTAACAAAAGTATCTATTATTTGCATTCCATGAATGCAGTTAAAGGTTGAGTTGAAGAAAAGTAAGTATTGCATATTTAGTTTTCTTCTCTTCTTATGCTAAACAGAATGGAGAAATTTAAAATTCACAGTGAAACAGGATTTTGCTACAGACAAGAGCTACATTTTGTTAGATAAGGCTCCAGTCTTGAAGAAACCTAAAAGATAAATACTTTATTTATATCAGTTATGATATTGTTAGGGATTTTTTTTAAGACTAAACCACTGTAACATAAGTTAAAGGTGAACAAGTAGATACTCTTGGTGGACAGAGCACTGGAAAAGAAAACTGGTTCCATTTGTATATGCTGCTATCTTGCTGAATGATCTCACTAAAGATGTTTCAATTCCATTTTTGCCTTCAGTAAAATGAAACTTGAAGTATGTACTTCTACAAAATACTACAGCACCTATGTATAAGAGCTGCATAAATAAGGTGTTTTGCATGCATTTAAGTAAACAAGTAGTTTTATTTATATTACTAGTCATATTCAAATTTGTGTGTAGATATAATATTTATCTATCATAGGAAGGAAAAAAAAAAAAAAAACAACAAACCACCTTCTGTCTAGAACAGAAACTTCTACATCTACAACTCTTGCTGCTTAGTTTGGCAAGAGTATGCAATGGAAAGAGACACTCACATGACCAGAAGAGTCCCGCATAATAGAGCAACATAGAGAATTTCCACTCATTTCTGAATGAAGTGCCAAAGCCAAGTAAGGCTGGTTAGAGGAGTACAAGCAACTCCAATCAATATAATTCATCTGAGGCATATGAATTTTAATGGATGTTAACTTACATAAAAAGCATTTTTTCCCAGACATCAACCTGTCATTAACTTCTTTAAAGTCAGAGGGAATGTCTCAAGAATACAATTCACAGATCATTATAAATTTACAGATTGCTTGTCATACTTACCGGTCATTTTTGCCTCAGTGAAAGAACAACTTCAGAAACTTTAGTTTTACTATTTACAAAGAAAAAAGGTTTCACTTTCTAGAAGCACACTTGATAGTAGAAAAACAGAATTCACCTATAATGTAGATGAAGAGAAATTAGGATTAAGACTTGTAACTGGATGGGACTCTTCTAGAAAAGGCAATTATATATGGTATATATTATAATATATATATTACACATATATAATATATATATAAAAATATAATATATATTATTTAAATATTTCAAGGATTTGATTACTCACAATTCTAGTAAAATGCTTCAGTATTTGTACAGGTAAGAAACCGTATTTTCAAAGAACTGTACTGAAAACAGAAACAAGAGTGACATAGGAAAGATATAGTGTCTATTTAAACCTACCACCTTAAAGAACAACCAACCAAATTATTTTCCATTAAGTCAGGCAAGTTTAGCAAGTAACAATTGGACTTAAATCAGTTCCTGCTGTCTAAGACATTGTTCTCATGTGTGGTTTTAAGAATTTCAGATGACAGCAAGTTAACCTTAACTGTTTCTTGTTTAGCTTGCACCGTTTAAATAAATAACACATCTGTTTTCATAGATACAACATCTTTATACGTTCCTCCCCGCCCCCACATTGGGAGGAAGAAGAACATTTGTCTACTAATTTTGGTCTTTGTACATGGGAAATGTTATTCATCACATGGAACATGGATGCAATTAAGTAACCATATTGAGAGCTGCTGTTCTGTTTCTTAAAGCACTAAGTTAACTTGAGTTGGCTTTGTCCTTATCAAAGTGGAATGGTTCCTTCAACCAAGCTGGCACAGTTCAACTGAAATGCACACAATAAGGACAGACAGATGCGGACAAATGAGATAGTCCAGGAGATGGAAAGAATGGTAAGACTTGACAAAACAGGACTTACCAGATGAAGCTGAATGAACTGGGCATCTTTATCAAGATTATATCAAGAAAAGGTTGAGGAGATATTATCACAACCATATATGCATTTGAAGATGGTTATTGAGACAGCAGCTGTCCAATTTGCCGTGTTTACACAGTACAACATGGGAGCTCTACCACATGGCTTTAATGGCATTGATTTCCAGAAAGGGAAAGTTCAGTTTTCTGTCTGCTTGCTAAGCAGAAGGAGAGAGATTCACTAAAAAGGATTACCTAATAAGGATATGGAATTCTCACTACTGGATTTATTTATTTATTTTTAAATGGGATCAATAAGCCTCTCTCAGTAATAAGGTGCATTGGGTGCTTAATATCCAGTCAGAGCAGAGAGGAGCAGTCAAGATGATCAGGTATGGCTGTTAATATTTCTAGGCGTTTCAATTTCTTGTGTTATATTTTTTCTTCCCCCAAAGTTTTGTTTTTTGTTTTTTCCCCTGATGCACTTGTTTTTTGTTGTTTTTGTTATTTGTTTTGTTTTGTTAGTTTGTTTTCACAGTTCAGGAATCGAAAAATACCAACTGTGGCTAAATTAACTTTCCCTCTTAGGGAAGGAAAGTAATACACAAGTCTGTCGGGCATTTATTTTTCCCTCTTAGAAGTAAATTAATTTGTCTACAAACTAAAGTAAATGTAAAATTGGTCCTTGAAATCCAACACTTTTATTCCTAAGACCTTTGGCAGAACAAAAGAGACTCATTAGACGTACTGTGAAGTTAAAACTCATTGAAATCTTATATACAGGCTTTACTCGAATTATATGTGTTGGTTTTGTAAGGTTTTGATACTATTCTTTAAAAATAACTGCCTTTATTCTCATTCAACTGAACTGTTCTTCTCAAGAGACTTCCCTTAAAATTGTCAACTATTGAAATGCCTGTTACTTCCATGGACTTCCAGGATATCAAGACATTACCTCCAATTAAGTGATTTTTCTAAAAACAACAAAGCTCCCTACACACAATAGAAGTTGGGTGAGAACTGACCATTAAATGAGCACAAACACTTGTCTCTCTGTGTGTCCCTCTCCACCTCATGACAAGTCAATCTATACTGACAACATTTTAGAGTCAGCGTTTGTACAAAAAACATCAGGGACTGATTGTATCAAGGATTTCATTTGAAGCAAAGGCAAACTACAGCATTGTTGCCATGGAGGACAGTGGAAAGCCTTCTGAATGAGGCCCTTCCTACATAGAATAAGCAGTGGATAAAAAGCTTGAAAAAAATCCAGTTAAGAAAAAGAAATAGGTAAAAATGATAATCATGAAGCCAAAATAAGCCTGATTCTGAGTTCTCGAATGACAAATAGTTACCTCATGCTGAAGAAAAATAAAAGAGAACAGAATATGGCCAACACACGGAACAACAATTGGTGCTACAGATGAAAGAATACCATGAGTGATGTAAACAAAAGCAGGAGGATAGAGGCTCTGAAGTATGTTTACCAGTGAACCTTATCTGCAGCATTCAGAAGAACATGTACAGAACAATATGACATAGAGGAGGATGATCTGTTTGCGCACGCTCACTGACTGTTATCTATCTTTTATTGTGTTGAGATCTCTTAAGAGTTTCATTGCAATTCTAAAATCCCTTCATTTTGTAAATCCTGCTTATTGGGGTACCTAAAATAGCTCTGTAATGTTTTGTGGCCTGGAGTCACTGATATCTATTCTCAACTTTAATTCTCTTTTAATACAGATTTTGCCAAGAATATATGCCAGCGCATTACAAAACTGTTAAACAAATCACTTCAGGGGAAGTTACTTTTTAAAACACAGTGTTTGGCCTGAGGTAATCACAAGGCTGTCATGGCTACAGACTATTAAGGGTAGAACACGGGAGCAACTGTTTTCATTCTTGGAGAGGCCCCAAAAGGTGGTATTAGGCAATAGCTTTTCTATCTAGAAAACTTGTGTTCTGGATAACGCAGAGTACTCCGATCCTGTTTGACTTAGTGTGCATATGAGTCACTGTGGTACCATGGCCAAATGCCAGTGTCAAATCCCCCAACCCTTTCCTCACATTTTCAGGGGAATATTGCACTCTTCCCTTTCTGTCCCAGACAGGGCATTTGGTGCAGATTTGCTGTGTGATTTTAAACAGCTGCTGCACATCACTGTAGATTCATTGTATTTCAGTGGCAGGTGAAAGGAATTGTGTACTTCAATCTAGTTGTATATACAAGTGGTATACTACAGCTTTTTAAAGACACCGACAAAAGTTTTTTAAAGTATTCTAAGAATCTTCTGAGCAGAGAGGAAAGGTACTCTAACAGTAACTGTTAACATTTCATGTTATACATCCTTAAAATATCCTTGCCACAAGTTTGAAATAAGTATAGGAATACTGTGCAGTCACATAGCCACTTGACAATTTTTGAAAATGCATTTTCAGTCCTATGCTATATTAGTGGAATTCCAGTGTCAATAATTTGTAGCCAATCTACAATTTTCTACTTAAGAAAATCAAGCATTATTTTTTTTTCTATGCAATACTCTGCCCAGCTTTACTGAGCTAAGTTATAAAATGCCTGCTAGAAAAGACTGATTGCTTCCTGGATTATAACTTTACACAAGTAAGCGATTTATCTCAAACATACTGTAATACTGCTAGATTTTAGAAAAAATCACCAGAACAAAAATTGTATTGCAAATTTTCAATCTTACAGCTGTTGAATTATATCCTGTCAGTATTTTGTGGTATAGAGGTAAGCAATCACATACTTAGATGTTCAGAAGATACTAAAATTTATACAAGTCAGGAAGACTGAGGAAAACAAAACAGGAATACAACAGTCAATTTTTGTCCTCATCTTCACTCTGATGAATTTAATTGTGTTAGTTTGTATTTAATCTATACTAGTAGAGCAGAACATTATTTATTGTCTGAGACAGATATGGATTGGATTAACTAGCTTTATTAAAAAGCAAACAGTCCTAAATTGCTGGTATGTTGTATGCTCTCTACTGTCTCTATGGATCAGCACAAAATGAAAAGAAAAAAAAAAAAGAATTCGTGTTTCCATGAGGACATATTATATACTTTTGTTACTTTATTTTCTGTGCTCAGTTGGTATCTTAACATGAGAGAGAGTGAGAACCTGAAGTAAACTGGTGCATTTTTATTTATACAGCTACACTAGAAGAAAGGATGCTTTTTAATAATGTATTAACTAGTGTATTAAAATCCACCAAGAACAAGACAGTTTAGAGAACAAATCCTAAACCCCAGAATCATCCCATCTAAGTAAGACATCTAAACTATGATCATATTTCCCAATTCCCTATATTTCCCTACAGTCAAGAGACACATACCTGAGTAACCTCCTGGTAATGCCTACTTCTCTTCATTGATGATACAAGTTCCAACTTAGCTAGGTGAGATTTTTCCTTCCACGTGGCCTTGTAACTCAATTTCACCTTTACCAACTACACCTATTTAAATGACAACATCTCGTCTATGCTAGAATTTGCAAACATGCTAACTGGCATGCCCACATGAAAATACACTCCACAGAACAATTCCTTGCCTTCCTCAGCTACACTTCTAATGTGCTTCTGTGCCCATATGCACAGAAGGTGAGAAATTAAATAAATAAATAAATAAAAGCTCTAATAAATCTTTTCTATTTCATAAGGAAGCTGTTGTTTTCCTGGGTATCAGTTTGGAACTTTTGGCTTAATCAGATTTTCACTGATTGCCATATTTGGAGGAAAACAGAGCATTACCCTCTGAGACTCACCATCTCGGGTCATCCAGCTGAGTCACTGCACATCATTAAATACTGCTTCTATAGAAATAATGCATTAGGAAGACAAGACATTGTGCAGTGCCACGCAAGTTTTCCTGGCGTGAGAACAGACTTTCCATATTACCCACAGGTGATAAAATCATAGGTAGTCTTACAGGTTATTTCAAACCACTGTTGATAAAATCTTTACATGTCATCATGGCTTTCTGCACCAGGACTATGCCAGAAGATAGACTATAGAAATTACACTCATTCATAGGAAAATCCCTATCTCAAAATATTCTTGCTAGTGGTAGTCATTTCACCCAACATCTTATAGAACTCTAGTTTAATTTCTTTTTCTAAAAGGAGAAAGCACTGGTTACCTTTGTCTTTGTGAAGACAAACTTTCA